CCCCCCCCCACCCCGTACACATCATTCACAGTTTTTAGTATTTCTGTTTTACATTGTTAAAACCAGATCTTTAAAATAAGGTAATCAGTTGCTCCTATTTTAGAAGATATGTGCCAGTCTGTACTAGTAGGTGATTTAATGGAAAGAGCTTTGTGAAACAATTAAAATTGTGTGTATTTCTCACTTCAGTTGTCATATCTTATCTCGCCTAGCACAAAATCCATAAAGTTGGCTTTGCAAATCAGCAAGAGCACTTCACTGCCATATGGTGTGACTGCACAAAGATAAGTGTCCTACATGAGTTAAAGAGTTCCTGGAATTTATAGCTAATACCTTACAAAGGCACATCAATTAGCTTCATTGTCTTTCTGTTGAAAGTCTCTTATCTTGAGCCTTTAATTAATAATACCTAGAAGTTCAGGGTTGTGTGGTATTGATCTTTTTTTCACTTTTGGTCTTTGTAAGCTACATTTCTTTCATGCCAGTAATGTAGGCAGTGTTTTTCATGGCTGATAATATGGCAATTCTTTTAGTTGCAATTATTTTTGTTTATACCCATTGGAGCCTGGAAAGAGTTGAAATAAACCTGTATAAAAGAAAACACTTTGCTCCTGTTTAAGAGATCTTGTGCCATCATATTTTCAAGTTCTGTTTTGGAAGCCATATTGCACAATGACTTCAGAAGATTTTAAACATTTGAAGATGCATCTCAAGTGATTATTACTATGACTTAATCAGTACAATGGTGCTTTATGGATTATTATAAAAAGTCTCATTAACCTAATGGATATTGTTTGATATTTTAAAGAGCCACGTATGTTGAATGTGCTTCATGCCAACTTGCATGACTAGAGCATAGAAATTATAATAAATATCTAATTAACAAAAATGAATATTGGTTCATGCTTTAAGGAATTGGCTGTTACATTATTGATGTTTTGAAATGCTCTTACAGGTATTACACTAAAAAAAAAAGAAAGGTCAGATAATGTAACTTATTGTTATTGTTTCTATTATTATTATATGAGGTAATTGTTTGGAAGGAGGGGATTACCCTTGAAAGATATCATCAGAGGCATATGTATTAATTGTTTTTCCTTTTGTAGGGAATCTTTTTGATTTAACTGCAAACAAATGCTCCATTTCTTCATTGTTAAATGTTATTGATAATTAAAACCAATAAAACTGATTATTTTGTACATTTCAGATGAAGACTTTGAGGCTGCTGAGGTATTATTTGCCATGGATGGCTACATCACACGTTTCTTTGGCTGTCGAGAGTGTGGAAAGAACTTCAAATATATGTCTTCCAAGCTGGAAAAAGGGGTTGGTGATATCAATTATGGCATCATGTGGATGTGGGAGGCCCACAATAAAGCTAACAAGAGACTCCATGGAGACCTAACGGAGGACCCCAAACATCCAAAAATTCAGTTTCCCACTTACGAAACCTGCCCAAGTTGTCATCATAGTACTCCAAGTTCTCCATTTAACAAAGATATGAAAATTTGGGACAGAAAAGAGGTATTGAAATTTTTAAAACTTTTATATGGCAAGCAAAATATTATAATGGACCTAGGGGACACAGAGAAAAGTAGGGGCCAGGCCATGGTAGACAGCAGAGAACAAAAGCAGGAGTTGGCTAAGCTACAGGCCATTAGAAGACAAAAACAACAGGCCATGGAGACTGAGGCAAAAATTAGAAATGACAGAATACAGAGACTTCGAGAACAAGAGCTCGAGACGCGTCATTTACCAGGACAACGGGTCCCAGGCTCCTGGAACTTCACCTCCGTGGATTTATCTCTATGCGTGCTGGTCTACTTTGTGGCCACCGGGATTATAGTTCTGCTGTATTTTCATATATCTAGAAGGAGAAAGAAGGCAGCCAGTTTGAAAAGTTGTTGTGTGTAATTGCTTGCCCTTCATCAGTTTGGTTGTATGTAGTGCCATGGTGTGGACTGTGAGGGGGCGGGGGGGGGGGGAGGGACTGGGGGTGAGTCAGAATGGTAAACCACAAATGCCCCCTTTTCGTCTTTGTATTCAGAGTCCTATTTATGAGTTCTGCAAGATCATTGAGGAGAGTGGAAGAGAAGTAAACATTTAGCAGAATTGTTAGAGTATTTGTTATCAAGACATGCTTATTAACACGCAAAAGAAAAGCTTATTTATATTTATAAACAAAGAGTGATGGAACAGTGATAATGAAATGCTAAACAGCTTCCCATGCATGGTCCTTTTTTTTTTTTTATATAATATTTATATTTATAAGGAGAGAGACTGCTGAACTGTTAACTTTCATAACCATGCTCTCTGACAACTGCATGTTAACATTATTTTGTAAATAAACATGGTTAGAAATATATATTTTAGCTTGAAAATACCATTTCAATGTTTGAAGATCAATTATATGTAGCAATCTTAATGTCTACTTATTTTTAATAACTTTATTTGCTTGCCCTCTTAGACAGCTGAGCACAATTTTCTACAGCATGATATGTCATTGATAAACTGCAGTCATTCCATCTTGAATATAAGGATTACCTTAAGTGACCAAAATATGAGAAAATGAAAATATCTTATTTGTTCTGATTACCTGCTTTACATTTCATCTTCTGTAAAATGATATTTGGTAGTGAGACATCGAGATAAGTTTTATTTATAGGAGTTTGAAAAGAAATCTTATTTTCAGAGTATGAGCTATAATAGTGCTGGGCCCTGGTAACAGGCTCCTTTAATTTATTTGAGTATGATAGTAGATCTTATTATTGTGTTTGATATTTTATTTGTATTACCTAGTTCTCAAAATATGTTTCTCTTGTGAATGGTCACTGACATTAATAAATATTAATCAAAAGAAGAAATGGTGCTGACCCACATGAAAGTATAAACAAGGATTTTTTAGTGGTCTGAATTAATGTATTAATATAACACAGTTGTTTTCATGAAGGTTGAAGACATTTTTGTCCATAAGATTCTTTCATGGTAGGTTATTATTTTTCATTAACTACGCAATGGTTCTTATCAGTATCGTTTATAATTATATGTTTCAAGTTGCACACAAATATATCATATTTCTAATTGAAGCATATTTTCTTACCTATTATTTACAATTATATTATTTAATTACAAATTCATGATCTTTTCAACATGCTTTCCGTCAATCGGCTTACGTGGGCGATGGGCTAAAGTAGTTAGCAAGTATTTAGGCGATTATAATGAAAACGTCATACCCTATACCAGGGCCACAGATTGATTTTTTTACTAGAAATTTACAGATAACGTCTCTGGCTAATTTATTGCACATTTCCCCACCGTGGAGAAACGTGCGCTCAGTTATTCTGCGGCTCTGGTAGAGGGTTGAAACGTCAGGCCAAACAGAAAGGTGTTACACTTTGTTCGTCCATATTACAGCGAAGTAACGCTCTAGAATAAGAGTCCTGCAAATGAGAACTTGTAGGCTGAAGTATTTTTAAAAATAATTTAACCTCCTTATCTCTACGCCATATTCAAGTAATGGTTGACATACATACTGTTACAATATAACACTCAGAGCTGAAAAGCATAAGTGTAGGGTTTTTAGCAGCGTGAAGTCTGTGAGTTAATTGATTGGCAATATGCGACTTCATTTACTAAGTTTATAAAGTGAAAATTGGATTAACTGCAAAGGAAGCAACAAAAAAATGACATGTCTACAGACATGTTACGGTGAAGTGTGATAATGAATCCTTGTGGAGGCGACGAATTAAAAAAAAAGACCAAAAAATTGGTAATTGAAAGGAGCGAAAAGGGCGAAAATTACATATATAACTTTATGATATTGGGTGAACAGAGTCAAAAGCGATCAATAGGCGTCATATGGTATCCATGCATCTCTCTGACGGTATTGCTTTAGTTTATCATTAGTTTATCATTTTTAACCTATGTATATCGGTACAAAATATGTGACACCCACCGCTGTTTCAAACATTCCATTGAGTCTACGCGAGGACAGAGTACTTGTGAACACTTGCAAATTATTTTGTACAAGTAGGTAATGATATTGTTTTTGCATAATATTCAGAAATGACTTGGTTCAAATATTTTTCCATGTATCCAAGCGATGTGTTAACTAGAAAAGTGTCAGCATAAGTGGTTATAATTTGAATCTTTAAAAAAAAAAGAAGAAAGAATGAATGAATTATGAAAGTTTGTGTTGCAGTATCGCTTTTAACGTACATAACATACTTGGTGCATGCATATGCGCGTCATTATCTGGGGAAAGGTCCATTAGTAACACTTGATCCTGTCTAAGTGGATTACTGAAAAGGATTTACTGTAAGTAGTGACGATAAAGATAATGTTGGCAGTATTTCAGGTGTTCATGAATCACCTAACCAATGCCGACTTTTTGAAATAAATTGCAAATATTCTGAAATTGTTGATTAAGGCTGCTTTCTGCTTACCTTTCAAATTGTCAAGCAGTTACAGGTATAACATTATAAGAGTCCCGATGCCAAAAACAAAGTTGGATTTAAAAAAAACGACCTGACAGTGTAAACTCTCGTCTTTACGTATGACGGGTCATCAGGGCCCCGTAACTCGAAAGCATTGCGAATTGCGACCGAGCGCAAGCGTCTCTATTCTGTAACTCGCTCATACTCGCCTCATATAATACATAGTAGCCTCCATGTGATAGAGCTATTCGCAAATACTTTCGAGTTACGGGACCCTGGGATTCACAGCTCGTTCTAGCAATATTGATGAGCACGGTCAGCTACAATCCAGCAACAGAACTCGAGTTTCGAATCTCTTTTCATCCCAAAGAGCCCAATTAAGTGATGAATAGCCCAGAAATCATAAAGATCAGTCTTCATTGTAGCCGTGGCAGTTGGAGTTTCATCCCATCGATCTGAAATGACTTTAGGCTTTCTGTCAATACCCATTCTCAATTTATTTCCGTCGTTGATAAGAAATATATCTTTACAAATAAAATAACACGTTTCCTTGTGAACCTCAGTTTATTACACTATATGATTGTCTTAAGGCTGCTGCACTCAGTCCCCATCTGGGATAATAATAAGAATAATAGTGTATTTAAGTCTAAAATCCGCTTAATATAAGATGTTTGGTAGACTTTAAACAAAACAAGTGCTTTACAACATAATTACCAAGACATAAAAATTTTAAAAGAATAACAAAGATTAACATTTTACATTACATCAGCCTAATTTTCATATAAAACCAATTACAATTAAAATGAACAATAACAAATTTTTGTAAAAAGACGTTTTTAAATCCTTTTATAATTATCAGTTGATTCAATTGAGCGGATTTCAATTGGTATCATATTCGATTCCATTGGATTTGGAATAAAGCCCAGATAACATTTGCCATGCGGTGCTCGTATACTGCTCTTGAATCCCATTTCGTGTGGCGTCTGTGTGGAGGCAGGTAGTGGTCGTGCGAAATCGTACAAATCGCACGGATTTGCCTCCAAAGCCTCTATGAATTTCACAAATTTAAAACTTTTGACAAAACTTTAACATCGCGTAAGCCCGTAGACCGTAGTATTATCGTATATGACAACGCAGGTCCCGTTCGGGCTTTGTTCAGTGGTCTTGCGGCGACCGTGATTATTGTTGTTCTTTTCAACCATTTTTGGAAGGCATAACGATAGTACCGATGTTTTAACTCGCGTGTGTACTTTTTGCATGTATTTGATTTGTGCTTTTCCTTCTTCTTACCTCATGGGTTGAAAATCGTAGGGCACTGCACCGTCAAAGCGTCAATCTGCAAGAAAACCGCACTGAAGGCGTGCGGCAACTTTCGAAAAGGGCTCCGTACGACCACTTTTCAGCCGAAAAGCCGATTTCCCCCGTGACCTCAAGGACATGTCGTAGAAATATCACGGCACCCACCATGTAAAGGAGCACGATATTGCTACTCACGATGTCAGAAATATCGTACGTGAAATCGAAGACGATTTTACTGTACTGCGCCGGTGGCAAATGTAATCTAGGCTTAAGCCATAGTGGTACCTTTGACCAATTATAGGCACAGTGGGCTATATGATATAATATGATTTTATATTAAAAAAACATCATGTTTCCTTGGCCCTGTGTTTGACTTCCGGTGCGTGGAAATTGCATGGGTATTTGATGGAATGCTTGTACAAGAATTCAAATACATTCAAATTAGTTAAATCCTTTTTTGTCCCATAGTTAGCAACTTTCATTGACTCTCTGTCTCTCCTTATGGTAATAAACTATTCACCCCTTTATGTTATGTTGGTCCCGTGAACGAAGATCAAAACATCCCCACATCTTGTAAGTTTTGCCGTATGAACACAGCCATTGACGCGTCAAATACAAAGTTAATATTTGATGTGTCTGTTGCATTTGTGTAATGTACGTAAATCTCTTTCTTGGTCCTTGCTAATCCTTCAAACTTTTTTCTGATATAATTTGCCGCCTCATCAAAAGTGTTCTTTCCTAAAACAAAGGAAAAATAAATTACTGTACAACAAAGTGTCATAAAAAGGGGTATTTGTACACTTTTAAAAACAGCAGCACTGTAGTGTGACGAAAAAGGTTTCTATACAACTAATGCATAGCATATATGCTTCCGTCGCATGTGTTATTGATGAAAATCTAAGAGTTAGAGCAATCAACAAAAATAATAGTCACCATTGAAATGTCGTGTTTGCACATTAACCGATTTGTGCACATGTACATCTACTATTACCAAAATGTTATCTTTAAGGAAACGATCTTGTCACAAGAATAGCTGTCACTACAAGCAGGATATGTATACAGATGTACTCTTACTCGCCGTATCAATCAAGGTGAAGATCTTATTCTTTATATCTTTTCATGAATTTAGCCTAAGAATAAAGATGGTATCGTGGAGACGAATGGTCGTTGGATTGTGATGCATCGTAACCGAACAATACATGTATGATTACATGCAGTTTCCGTGTGGTTCGACCAAAACTTCAAAAGTGCCAAACCCAGGTTATGACCTTCCATATAGACTGATAAAGAGCGCCTGGAGAGCGTTATTGAAAGGCGATTTTACTTATTTTTGGGTTAAAGTGATTATCAATACCCACAACTCTACTCACGGGCGCCATTCAACCCGACTATATGCCCTACAACACATGCACGTACCTTGGTAGTTTTTGAAGCAAGCACTGAGTGGTGAAGTCAAGATCTTCTTTTCGAAAATATCTTTTTTGTTGAGTAGGAGAATCATGGGTGTCTTTTGAAAAAGCGCATAATTGCAAATGGAGCTAAAAAGGCACATGCTCTCATGCATACGGTTCTGGAAAATAAGATGAAAATAATTGGATCATACTCAGAGAGTTGACTGCAATGGATGACGGCCGGATAGGAGCCATTATCTTTCAATAAAAAATGACAGTCATGTGCGTGAATTACTTAGTACCATACGTCACGTTTCGATAACTATAAATAAGGTGTGAAACCGTTTTCACCTAACACATAATGGTTGCACATCCTGTGAAAATAAGATGCTATTATCTCAAGTTATAAGGTGTGCAATTTCCCACTGATATACGCTACGTTTGACTTCTATGCGTAGAGTAAGCTATAAATATATGATATAGGCTTTATAAAGACATTAATGTATTTCAAAAGCGGATCCAGGTACCAGTATATAGGTGATATACATAATGCCGCGTGAACTGAGGCTTTTATTTTTCCACCCATGCGTTAACACCTCACGCTCCATCAAAAGTCAAATTTAGTGCAGGTAACCAGTGGCGGATTTAGAGGAGGGGGGGTCAGGGGGGTACTGACACCCCCCCCCCCCCCCCCTTCGATTTCTGGTCCCTTCTTGAAATTAGAATTTTGATTAGCTAAATCCTAGTTCTAAACCGCACCAAATGGTACCGTTCGCCCTCTAAAATACCAAAGTATCATCGGGCCACTAACCCTACTCCAAGTGGTGGGGGGGGGGTCGGCTTGACATCCGCGGACCCCCTTCAAATAATCCTGGATCCACCCCTGGGTAACTAAGTATATTCCCTTACCACTGCACTGTCTTCTACGAGTACTTGGTCGTATTCACTTAACGCACAGGTGAACAAAATGGCCGTCACATTATCGAAGACGTGTATCCATTTTCGCCGCTCTGACCTTTGGCCCCCTACATCAAACAATCTGAAAAGAATACACGCGTTTTTGTTTCTTTTTACTAAAAAAAACCAAGTAAAACATAACTAAAAAGCACACAGCAAAATGTATGTGAATAAGACATGCGTATTTTACTGTAAGTGATCCTTGTACCAAAACTTGACGATCTTGCCAAAAAAGAATCATACTTAATACAGTACTTTAAATATTAGATACTCACTTGAAGTTAAAGCCCCTTAATGGGAACACAGTTTGTATGATTCCTGTGGTCCGCACTCGGGCTCTTAGGACATCTTGTTCATTCGGGATGTAGCCGGGTAAGGAAATGCGGTCTACGTTGTCGAAGTAGCTACGAAGTTAGCAGGGGTTAAAATGCATATTGATCTAAACTTCCAACTTATGTGACTTAGGTTACTATGTATGATGCCTTTATTTATTCCAACATTAACTTCAGTACAATATCTATTAACTCTCTTAAATATCGTTCTCGTCTTTAAGGCTTTAGTAGCTAACTCAACACCATTCCTTTACAATCAGGAACATAGATACCGTTTTTTCATCACTTACTATTGAGCTGAATCACCGATGTGGAACTCCGACGCGCGCTTAAAGGCTTCTTGAACTCCTGCGTCTGACCAAAGTGTTTTGATGGCATCCGCCACTGACGGTAACAGGCAACCGACATCTTGCTTTATTAATGGGGCATACTTCAGCACGATGTTTGCATCGATCTACAAAGAGTAGTCTTAACATATATTTCGAAACAAACTTCAGAAACGGGTCCGTAGCCAGCAATTTCAAAGGGAGTTCTTTTTCTGAAAAAGTGGACCTTTTGCCACAAAATCCCAATATGTACCTGGATCTAATTTTATCCAGAGTGGGTTCTTTCGAATCCCCCCCCCCCCCACCCCCCGGCTACGGGCCTGAGAAATTAAGAAGCGACTATCGATAAATTGGCACTGATATAAAACATACATGTATAAATAAAACATAAATGGGATTAATCCGACTGTCGGTGGTATTCCGGACTTGATTAGCCGCATGCCGAGTTCAACGATTTAAGCTACGTGGGAGAACAAAATGCTTGATAAACACGTATAAGAGGTTTAGTTTAAGGCCATCGCCACGGGAATTTTTTCCGGCCAAAATTAAATTTCCTGGTAAAGCGCATTTTTTTCTACTTACGAATAATTGCTTAACTCGTTCTTGCACATGGATTCGATGTTTTATTCAATTATCTAATACTTTACGGGGGCGGTCTTGTTTTTGTGTTAAGGGGAAGCTGATTGTGCCTTTATAGATAACCAGATCATTCGATCATGTGACCTATTTCAACTGGCCGTTCTAAAAAAAGGATTGTTTGTTTTTAGGAAAAGTAAATGCTTTCCCCAAAATTTAAACTTAATTATCTTTTAAAGGGGAATAGATTGGTTAATTTTATGCATATACATAAAACAGAACGCTTCTGCGATCCAAATCACCGTTTTTCTTCAAGTAGTACATTCTGGAAGACCCGGAAAAAGAGCAAATCATTTTTCCAAAATTACTTATCTCAATTATTTTTAGGAAAGCGACTTGATTTATTTATATTTATATGTAGTAATGGGAAACACCAACCTCGAACCTCATACCTCGTCCGTATTGGCTAAAAAGCATCGCAACAAAGTACATACTGGTATAATGTAATGAGGCTCACTAATTGAGGAAATAATCGCACCCAAGATAGTGTCAAAGGATTTGCTTTGTTCTTCATTTTTAACTTTCAGTTATGAAGTTGTTATTACAGGAGGTTCAAAAGGAAGTTTTCCCAGAACGAATGATTTTCACTGCAGAAGCATTTATATCATTTATATAAAATGTCTACCAAAATGTCTCACAAAAGTTCAGAAATCAAACCAGGATTAGAATGAATTTTGATGTTGGAAAAATTATCAAAACAAATTGGTAAAAAAGAACAAAATCTGTCACACTTATTTTAGAAATGCGTCAACCTGGTATTTCGTATGCCTGGATTTTCACTGATATTTTTTCTCATTCCATTGTTCACGCAAAGCAATCAGGAACAGAAGTGGTTTAAAGTGTCTCACCATGCCCACGAGGCAAGGGAGCGACATGTGAACTATATGGTATATGGTGGTTGCAGTGCCACTGAAGGCAAACAAAATGACCATGCTTCAGAGGTTTGGAAATATATACTGCATGTTCTTGGCTCAGCTCATTTTATGTTTTTTATCAACACACTTTGTAATTGCTCTAAAAAGGCAGGTTGCTCAGCCATTCGAACATATTGTAAATAGAACTCTAAAACACTCCATTTTGCATTGCAATTGAACGTTTCGGAGGTAATGACATAAACTAATACAAAGTTAATGGATGGCTGTTCATATATTGCAGTCATACGTCACACACGTTTTTTATTATCTTTTCTTGAGATGCCATTGTTATTGCAATATCTCTGCTTGAATTGCCTTTACCTGATGTTAAATGTACAGAAATATAGAAAAGAAAGATATCCAGTATAGCAATAGCGGGTTACAGCCAGAAAAGCTCCAACAATAATTATTGGATCTTGTTTTTTTTCTAAGATGTCGTGACAGAAATGGTAGTCCTTGGGTGACATATAATCATAACAGGCCATGGCTAGCTGGTGGTATCGGCGTCAGTAAATGGGGCTAATGTAGAGTGTTTAAAGTGATGGAGAACGGGCTACGATTCCTAGTGGGCTCCCATTTCTGTCACAGCGACCATACTATGTATAGTGCCTATGTATACCTAAAAACATTTCAAGTTAATTTCACCCACCTCTCGTGTTCCATGTTCCAATGGTATCTGTAGCTTTTTCATCGCATGCAATATACAGCACATGTTCTCCACTAAATTGTCCACTATTTGTGCTCTGTAAAAACATCGGTCCTCGTCCGTAAATCCATTCATGTGGATAATCCTGGGAGGAAATACACATAATATTTGTCATCAAACGATTGTCACAATGCCTAGGGTTATTGTTGACATGTGTAAAAGTGATGGAGGAAATACATAAAAAAGTCACATTCGGAGTAACTGAACTAGTAATTTTTGACTTGCATTCATTGAGTATATAATGTACCTGATCAACAGCTATGCTCAAATCAGCTGTCTTCATCGACAAATAAGCTGCTTTCCAAACTGCTGTGAGACTGTAACTCGTCAAATTAGTTATAATTACGGAAATTGGAATATGATTAACAAGTAGAGTGTGATTTACCAATTCAATTTTTTGTCTTTGTCATATTGTGCATTTTTGTATATAGGAAATATGTGCCCGAACATTCATCCTTGTACAATTTTGTTGTGACAGAATTACCTCATAATATGACAATTATTTCGGCAATATTAAAACGGATAAGGGAAACATAGCAACGTGTTGAACCAATACAACAACATTGCACCCGTTGACCTACTTCACATATTTCAAATGAACTATTGCATTCCAGCTTATACCTGTCATTATTTCAAGAAATAACATAAATCAATGATTCACATCACAGAGAGGCGAATAAAGT